CAATGAAGGTAAAGTTAGTTTGTAGAAGGAAGCACCCTTGCTTGAAAGCGATGTCTAATTGAATGGCAGACAAAGTGAGGAACCAGAGTACGTTTTGACAAAACAGCGTATGTCCACTCACAAGAACAGAGAGAAAAGGGATGCTACTTAAGAGAATAGTGGAAAGAAAAAAAAAGGACAGTTTTACCAAACAGTTACAGATAGACAGGTTTCAGAGAGATGACAAGCTAGACACAGGTGAAGATGGAGTGAGCCAGAGAATGAGAAGGAGCCAGAACACTGAGAAAAAATTGCCAAGCTTAGTATGAAGCCAAGCAGAGCAATTCAGGAGAGGGTGCGAGAGAGAAGCCAGCCTGAATCAGTCAGCTTGGAGAGTTTGGGCCAGCTGAGTTGAACCAGCCAGTCAGAGTTCAGAAGAAAACTAAAAAGGGTGAGCTTATTTATGCTGTAAGTCTTAGAGGCTGAAAACATTCTAGGCCCAGAGAAATTGTATGGAGGCTGGAATCTTCCAGCAGTAGGTCTAAGTTAGCAGACTAAGGTAGTAAGCCACAGTGATGACAATTTACATCAGGAAAATGAAAGTTACTTTTACAATAAGGTTAGGCTCAAACCCTCATATTAAGGCTAGACATTTTACTTGAGTTTATAATATTTATTAATAAGAAATATACAAATGGTCAATACAGCTTAGGGCAATTTTAGGGGGATATGAGGTTATTAGACTCATGTGGCTTTTTATATGGCCAAAAGGTAAGCCAAACAAATGAGAAAATCCTTGTACCATACTATATAAAACAGACAAACAGAGAAAACAGATATTTTATTTTTCAAAGATAAAACATAATTAAAGATAACTCAGATGAAATTTAGATTAGACATGAGAAACATGAAGCAACTGCAGTTACTGCAAGCTATGATATTGTTAGTATTAACTATAAATCAGAAAGATAAAAGAAGATTCATGTTGTGGATCACAGGGTTTTGCCATATCCCATGCTTATAGGGATGTCCAATGAGCTTAAGGAATTTCTATGATGAACAGAAAAATTGAAAGAAAATGCTGAAAGTCTCTATTCCCCTCCTCAAGGCTCAGTCAGGGCTCTACGAGGAACATAAAGCAAGCTCGTAAGGGCTAGACGACAAGGGCTCAACAGGACTCACAGTGACTGGGAGAGCACGCCTAGAACCCACAGACAGTCTTAGCACAAAGGAGGGGATGTGTGCACAAAGGCCAGCCCCAAACCAGTAAGTTCTTTGGCACTAATAATTGTTGGAAAGTGAAAATGACTTTTCTTCAACATCGTGACACTGAGTATACCAATCATATTCAGGTCAAATCTCATGCGCAGTTAACAGCTGTCTAAAACAAAATGGACTAGGAGTGAGGGGGGAAGAAGAATATGACAAAATAGATTGTATGAATTTTTTTAGAATAGTAAAATAAGTTAAAAAGTAATTAGAAATAAAAATATCTGGCAAATAAAATTTGGTAAAAAGTTTAGTAAAACAAATATTCTGTGTATAAATTAATATACTCAAGTTCACGCTACCTGACTGCATAGTAAAGTCACCAGCTCAATTAAGCTGCCAAAAATTATGAAGCTGTTTAATAGTAACTTCTTTTCATTGTATTAAAGATCCCATTCTTTTGCAAGCAGTAATTAAAATTAGGAAACATGGGGACTAGTTTTCAATTTATTTATGAAAAAAGTTTGAACAACTAACTCTACCTTGTGTTTTAACTTAAAAATTTCCTTGAGGCATTAATGTGTACCAATCCTTTGTATCACAGAAAGGAAAACAGAATTTAACTTCTGACCTTTTAAATTAAATACCAATAATACAAACGTATTATTTCACTTATAAATTGCAATTCCTTAATATTGTACTATGCTATCCCATGACTTAGGTAATACAAGGACATATGTCATCTCTAAGAGGAATGTGGAGCTGTTTCACTAATGCCATAACTAGATCACACAAAAACAAGCACCAAAATAACAAGAAACTAGAATCCTTCACCAGAATCCAGAGCTACCAAGAAGAAAAAGGGCTGAAATTACTATTAGTAAAAGACTCTGTTTCAAACAAAAACATAAATAAAACAGTCCACGGTTCTTTTAGATAATTTAAACCCCAATCGCTATTCTGGTCTCAAACTTGACTTAAGTGAGCATTTTCACAGCTCACAGACCGAGAACCTTCTCTGGACATCTCAACACTGTTCTTGTCTTTCACTACTGGGCCTAATGGAGAGTTAGGCTTCAACATGCTATCTGCCAGGAACCTGCTCAGCACTAGATGAAGACAAAAGGAAAGCTATTGTTCACGTGATGAACAATTCTCTTTTCTACAGCTTTACATATTAAGTTATAGTAACTAAACCACTAATTTACCACATTTAATTACTGAGAAAACACAGCGACACACATACTTAAGGAATGACTGAGTCCCTAGTTTACTATCATGCTATCATGTTAGAGAAGTTATGGGGCTACAGAAAATTAATACAGCATGTTCACTGAGAAGGATATTTTTCTCTCAGAATGAAATTCAAAGCTGCAGAGGAATTTTAATCTAGCAACATGGCTGTTCTGGCCACATCCAAAGACCTTATAGGTGTAAGTGGTCCAGATGGAAGGCAGTCACGCCCTGGATTACAGTATGAGCTGGCTGGAATTCAGTCACACCCTTAGTATGAAACTTTAATCCCCCCAAAATAAAATTAAAGATAGTTTATAGAAAGCAAAGTGATGAATAAAAGAAAGATTGGACAGAATAAGTCATAAACAAGATAGACTCAATTCTCAGGAAAATCCAGAAGTGAGAAAGTCAACGGAGTAGTCCGCAGATTGGGGTGGGGAGGCACTTTACCAGGACAGTTTTACAGAGACAGGTTACAGGTGAAAACAGAACAAGTCAAAAAATGAGAAAGAACCAGAAAATTAGTACAAATTGTTAGTTACTTTGAGTTCAAGTAGAGCAATTCAGTAAGAAGCTGAGAGATGCTAGTTTGAATCAGTCAGCTTTGACAGGCGTTTGGGCCAGAACATCTGAGTTGTTGAACCAGCCAACTAGAGTTTAGAAAGGACTAGAAAGGGTTAGCTTATTCAGCAATAAGTCTTCAAGACAACAATTACTTCTGGTGAATAGCAGGTATATTTTTACAAGGATGAAGGGGAGAACAAAAATTGACCCAGAGAGCATTCAAAGAATATAGATAGTTTAGAGGACACTTTAGGTCTCAGGGCTAGATCCATGTTTCTTTCCCTGAACAACACCATGATTTTTTAGATAGCTTAGTTGAAAAGCCTACTATTGCTATGTGACCCTGTGCCACAGTTCTCTGCACCATATCCCACCCAGTGATAGCTTGTCTCCTGAAGTCCTGACACACTTAAGTTCAAATGTGAGATCACCACTACTGCCCCAATACCTCATCCAAATGGGATACCCATAGGACACAGGAACTGCAAAGCAGTTGGGGACATGATACTTCTGGTTTCTTGTTTCTATCTTCTTCCCAGAGCTGACCCTGTGCCACAGCTCTCTGTACCTCAATCTAGCCTGGTGATAGATTGTCTCCTAGGAGTGCTGACACAACTAAGCTCACAGGCTTACACAGGAGGGACACGTTCCAGTCAGAGACAGCAAGACCAGCTAAACTCAGAGATAACTAGATGGCAAGAGGCAAGCACAAGAAAATAAGGAACAGAAACCAAGGCTACTCGGCATCATCAGAACCCAGTTCTCTTACCACAGCAAGCTGTGGATACCCCAACATACTTGAAAATTAAGTTTCTGATTTAAACTCACATCTCATGATGATGGTAGAGGACTTTAAGAAGGACATAAATAACTCCCTTAAAAAATACAGGAGAACACAGGTAAACAAGTAGAAGCCCTTCAAAAGGGAACACATACATCTCACAAAGAAATACAGCAAAACACAACCAAACAGGTGGAGGAAGTGAACAAAACCATCCACGAACTAAAAATGGAAATAGAAACAATAAAAAAATCACAAAGGGAGACAACCATGGAGATAGAAAACCTAGGAAAGAGATCAAGAGTCTCAGATGCAAGCATGACCAACTGAATACAAGAGATAGAAGAGAGAATCTCAGGTCCAGAAGAGATCATAGAAAACACTGATACAACAGTCAAAGAGAATGCAAAAAGATCTTAACCCAAAACATCCAGGTAATCCAGGACACAATGAAAAGACCAAACCAACAGATAATAGGTACAGAAGAGAGCTAAGTTTCCCAACTGATAGGGCCAGTAACTATCTTCAACAAAATAAAACTTCCCTTACCTAAAGAAAGAGATTCCCATAAATATACCAGAAGCCTAAAGAACCCTAAATAGATTGGACCAGAAAAGAAATTCCTCCCATCACATAATAATCAAAACACCAAATGCACAAAACAAAGAAAGCATATTAAAAGCAGTAAGGGGAAAAGGTCAAGTAACATATAAAGGCAGACCTATCAGAATTGCAACAGACTTTTAAGAGAACACAAGTGCCAGCCCAGGTTACTATACCCAGCAAAAATTTCAGTTACTGTAGATGGAGAAAACAAGATATTCCATGACAAAACCAAATTTAAACAATATCTTTCCACAAATCCAGCCTTACAAAGGATCAGAAGATGGAAAACTCTAACACAAGGAAGGAAACTACATCTTTTTTTTTCAAAAGAAGCTATGAAAATTATACAACCAATCTGACAGGGCTTGTAACAGTGATTTAGAACATAACTTTAAAAGTTATAAAGTTAGTTTTAAAGGATTAGCTTCCTAAACTAGAAGAAAAAAGTGAAAGTGACTTCAGAGGGCTGGTAGAACATTACTTGATGAGATGATATGTTAAAGTAATGTAGTAAATTTGGCAAATAAATAATATGGAGCTAGAACAAACTTTTACTTTTTAGGGAGCTACCAGAAACTACCAGAAACTTATAGTTAGAAATAGCAAAAATACAAATTTTACTTACAACCCATATATTTGTGGTGCAATTTCTAGTCTATTTAAGTGCATGTAGAGCTCAATGTCATGTTTCTTCAGTAGATGATCCTGGATCTGGTTGACTTTTGTAACAATGGCAACTGTTGGCCCTAAATCCTGTGGTCGAGCAAAGGGAATGGGGGTCATCAGAGTTTCTCTTCCCTGAAAGTAAAAAATAAAAAAATAGCACATGTATTATTTCAATTTGAAATTAAGAAATATGGAAATTGGCTTTAAATTCATTCATCTAAAGGACTTAAAGAGCGAAAACTACTTTATCCTAACAACGGCATAAAATGTGGAATAAGGAACTCTGAATGGACAGGTGGTGAGTGTGCTCACAAAGCCATAGCCAGGATATATCTTACAAGCATCTTTCGCTTGCACAGCTTCTCTTGTGACATTAAATTTTCCAAGAGAATTTGGCTAGAGGCAGTTAAGCCTTTCAAGTTGCCCCAGGCCAATTGATCTGATTAGCTACAGCATATAAATTGAACATTTTGATGGAAGTGCATTTCTTATAGCAATAAGAACTAAAACACTAAATGAAAATTGTATGCTACCAAAAGAAAGGTAATCTATCTGGCACAGATTTTATCAATATAGTTCAGTAGTGATATATAAAAACTCACAAAGAGAGCAATACAAATTTTATTATAGTCAGGTATAATGCATATGCATACAACAGCCAGGTATGGATTGAGTAATCCCAACACTTAGGAGGCAGAAGCAGGTAGAGCTCTGAGTCCCAGACTACCCAGAGCTATACACTTATTTCCTGTCTTGAAAAAAAAGAGACAAAAAAGTTTATAGTAATTTTATAAAGTGGCAATACTTCATGAAAAATATGTACACATAAAGTTTCTATTCAGTTCTATGTAATCTTTATGTTATGTTCATTTATCTACCAATATTATTTTAATGTATTTTAAATACCTTGATTTACTATTATGTCCTAAGTATTTTCATATTGTATCATACAAATTATTACACATGTTACAATGAGATAACTAATTATTCTAGTGTGTGCTATTATTTACTGATTTGTTAACTGAAGTATGCTGAAAAGATCTGTACTGTAGGAGTTACCTTTTGACCATCATGCTCAAAAGTAGAAAACCAAGGTTCAGCAGTTTCCATAAGCTGTGAGAACATTGCACTAAAAATAAGAAAAATGAAATAGTGCTATATTTAGTCTTTACTATAGTACTGGTGGTATTAAGAAATAGAAAAAGATCCTCTAACCCCCGCTTCGCAAGTTTAGAATTGCCACAGCCCTTTTACAATTAGAGAAGGGAGGAGATGTCAGGGGCAGCCCTGCTTACACACTGAAGGCCTAAAATCTCAGCCATAGGCCTAAAATCTGCAATAGGCCTGTCATACATGTATACTAACACCAAGTCTTGGGTCTCAGTGGAAAAACATTGAAACAGATGGCTATAAGCTATTGTAAACAGGCAGCTTTTGTGGAAATTTACAAGCCTGAGTAGTCATTGACCTTGTAAATAGGTAGCCTGGGCAGACAATACCAACTTAGATAAGGTCAAGCGAGTTATAGACAGAGTCATAGTGACTTGTCCCCTGAACCTTCACCCAGTCGATACCCGGTTCTGATGATATCTGTATTCCCCCTGATCACCCACACTCCAGTGTCATTCCCTTCCCCACATCCTGCTTTTCTGTGTTTATAACCCCTGTGTGAATGAATTACGATTTGAGAAAAAATAAATTATAAAAAAAAAGAAAAAAAAAGAAATAGAAAAAGAAAACGCAATAGTCTTAGTACTTACTAAGCATCATGCTCCAGATACTCAGGGTTCAAAAGAGTTTTCATTTCCTCACTTAAAAAAAAAAAAAAAGACAATTCACACTCTGGAAATAAGTAGTATTTAATTAAGCAGGGTAGATGCAGCTTCTGCCTCAGTCTACATTCATAAGCTAACGCACACTCACTGTGTGACTGAGAAGTCAGCATTCTCAAAGGGCAGCGCCAGTAACAAGCACAATTCTGTTGTTTTATAAAGAGCATGAAGAAGTTATTTACTTGCTTATCTTATAATGAAATAACCATCTGGTTACTTCAGATAACATATGACCAAGTTTGATCTAGAATAATTTATTATTCTACAATAAATCACTTTTCATCTAAAACAAATAAAAACTGTGGTTACTGATTGAAAATGCAATACGAAAATGTGTTTTATTAACTTTTTATAAAATTTCACCTTAATATGAGTCACTGATAGCTATTTAGCTATTTAGTTCTTTTGTAATGAAATAAAACAGCAAAGTCTGCTCATGCTGAAGTTGCTTTCAATCACCTATATGTTCTTATAAATGCATTTTGCATTAACAGTAGCAGAAATAAAGCTGCATAAAAATATCCCAAGACTAGTTTCATTTTTAGACTTCCAGTTACTCCAGGCAGTTAAAAGATAAGGTACTTGTGTTAAGACTTGATGAAATCAATACAGATAGACAACCAGACACCATGGAACTCCTACTTCATATTCTAGTAGGCAAAGGTTAAAATAATTTGGGACTACATGCAGTAAAACAGGTAGCTGACATCTGATTGGAAAGATCACACAAATGTATTCTATCAGCAGTTTTTTTGTTTTTTGGTTGGTTTTTTTTTTTGGCCTGCATACATCTTGCCTGGATTGGAATACCATTTATAAAATGCTTCTTGGTTGCTTCACTGGTGTTTTAAGTTAGCTAAATTTTAACTGTTACTAAAGATAAGGCCAATTACAAACATGAGCAACTGAGTATGTCTCAAAAACATGAAAAGCCATTCTATATACAATGGCTCTTGGGAGCACTGCACTTTTTATAATATAAGCCAAGTCAAAGTTGGTCTGGAGAAAGTGTCTCCAAAAACTCTCATTCAACTAATGAGAAAACTCGGAGCATGGCAAATCTGGGTAGTATCCATCATCAGCATTTTAAAAATTATAACAAACATTCCCTCTTTGGTCCATTACTTTTCTGTCTTCATTTGACAAAGACCCAATGTTTCAAAGGCACTTATGATTCAAAATTGCTCTATATCTAAACTAGCATTAGATTTTAATGTGGATTGGTCTCATGAAATAAAATCAATAGTACACAAAAGATCACAGTAGGGCTGAAAACACCAACAAACTCATGTAATGACTTGCCTGGGCTGTGCAGATTCACTGGCATGTAGAAAAGCTTGGTGGTCACAGTGAAGGGTGAAGATGATAGGCGCTAGTAGCTCATGCATACCCTGAAACACCAGTCAGGAGATATGAATGGAAAAGACTCTAAGAGTTCACTAATAACAGTATCAGCTGAATCAAATGCCTTTGTTCTTCTGATCTAGGGCTTTAGATTGAACTCAAGGTTTCATGCATGTCAAAGGACATTCTCACCATGTAAATACTTATTCAACCAATCTCTACCACAAAGATGTCCATGCTATATAGAAAAGCATAAAGTAGAATGTTACAAAATGAGTTCTGTCTACTTTAAAAATTTTGTTCTAATTCAGCCAGAGCATGCATTCTTCTTTAAAATATATGAAGTAGTTATCTCTTAAATGACAAGACAAACAATAAATTGGCATGGTAGACAACCTTGCACCTGTCAGTTGCTTCAAGATCTGTACTCATAAATATGAATTTCACTTATGCAAATTATAATCATGAGCTACAGTGTAAAGATCTGTACTAAGGGCAATGAAGAACTGTAGACCTAAGAAATTACACCCAATGTTTTCATTATATAATGGCTCCAAATTAGAACGCCTGTAGATTTAAGAAGAGCTGAAGTCAGCTAGCTACGAATGTTGGATAATAAGAGAAACAATCTTTAGCAAGCATGACAGAAAATGAAGTTTTCAATATAATTTTAAACATATTTAATTAGAAACGTGACATTTCTCTGTGCACTTCAACAAGGCCACAATGTTTTTTCTTATACTGGTATTCAACGGTGGATCATACAATGACACACATACATATACAAAAATGTCAGTTTTCATTCTTGTTTTAAAAAGTTAATTTTATGCACTATTTATACCTTTAATGGGAAAGTAAGTAGGTTGTTACATTATTGACTAGTTGTTAATACAGATTTTAATTTTTTAAAGATAAAGTGTCATACTTTAGCATGTAAAAACAGATTATATTTTTTCTTGCCACTTAAAACAGCAAGGGAAACACTCAAAAATCAAAGAGTAGTGGTTTACCAGAGAAGAAAAAAGAGGAGCGGTGGAGATGATATCTATACAATTAATACTAATGTATACAATTCTCAAAAAAATTAATTACAAAGAGTCACCATCTACTGAACTACTTAATATAGAAAACTTCACAGAAGCAAGGCAAAATAAGAATGAGTCGGGCAGACATGCTGGCCTGATGCCAAGATAAACACTAAACTTTAGAACTACAGTAGGTATCTGCATGGTGACCATGTTGCCAGTTTCTAACGGTTTGTTCAGAACAGGTCTTTGACGTAGGACTCCTGGGTAGTGAAGCCCGAGATGTGATGTGAAAGGGCTTCAACCAATGTGGGTGTGGACACTACTATGCTGGTGGGTCCTGGATATAAGTCACAAGGAGTTAGCTAGGAAGCAGCACTCACACAGAGTCTATGCATCAGTTCCTGTCTCCAGGTTCCTGCATATATGTGTGTGTGTGTGTGTGTGTGTGTGTGTGTGTGTGTGTGTGTGTAACAATAACAAGAACAGATTATAAATTTGAAAGGAGTGGAGAGGGACACAAGAGAATTTGGATGGAGGAGGGAGAGAGGTGCAAGTGATATATGAAATTCTCAAAATACAAAAAAAATTAAATTAAAAAAGAAATTATTTTTATATATTTGTGTATTTCTTATTTAAGTATTTAAAGTATTTATTTATTCTTACTTAAGCATTGTTGACTGTTTAGTGTCTTTGGTACTCCTCTCTCTAAATGTCTCAACTGTTCGAATATCACTTGTCATTTGCTTATTGTAATGACAACTGCCAAATGTGTTGGGGACACAATAATTAACAAAGTGAGCAGGTCCCTAACTTCTCTGGAGCTTTGTTAATTAGCAAGAGATACACATTTAAAAGATGAGCATTAAAATGGCTAAGTTATAAACTAGTATGTGCACACATAGAGATGTGGGGATAAGTATGTGTGTCTATTCAGTCATCTACATCCATGTTCTACATCTGTGGGGTGAAGACCTGATGAACTGAAAGCAGTACCAAAAGGGGAGGCTGAGGAGATGGGTCAGCCAGCAAATTTCTTTTTGTACAAGCATGGGGACCTGCGTTTGACCTTCAACACCTATGTGAAAAACCTCTATGCTGTGGCACACACATATAACACCTCCTCAGGAAACACAGAGACAGGAGGATACTGGACGTGTGCCTGGTAGTCAGTAAAGGCAATTAGCTCCAGGTTCAATAAAAGTTATTGTCTCAAAAAACAAAGTAGAGATTAACTGAGACTAATCACCTGAGTGAGCGTCTGAATCATTCCCTCCCCAAAATGTGGACGACACACTCACAGAGCATAAGGTAATTAAACAGACGTTCATCTATACACACAAAACCAGTAGAAAACAATTCAAAGACTTGCATCTAAACTAAACTTGTTTATCAACTTTCTCTAAACGATATAATTTCATAATTCTTTACTTAAACACTTATACTATATCAGTTATTACAAGTAATATAGAAATTTCTTTGAGTATATGGGAAAATTTATGTACGACATGTGCAACTATCACAACAGTTCAAATAGGAGACAGACATCCACGGATTTTGTAATACACACGATGTTTTAGAATCATCTCTCTAAGGATATTATAAAATGATTGTACAGAAAACCATATGTCCTTTGAGAGGTCCAGCACAATTATGTATATGTATGTATATATATACATTATTGTATAATATACATATAATATTGAATAAATGATATACCATAATTATGTTTATATATTAGAAAGTTGATCCATGATATTTAAAACAGTATTAGTAAGTTATAAATCAATAAATAAAGGTATATTACAGTATTTTAAAAAATTGTATTATTTTATCTGTTTTGGTTGCATGCATACTTGTGTACCACGTGTGTGCCTGGTACCCAAGGAAGACTGAAGAGAGCAAGAGTTATGGACGGCTGTGAGCTACTATGGTAACTGTGGGAAATGCACACAAGTCCAGGTCCTCAGGGAGAACAACCAGTGCTCTTAAGAGTTGAGCCATCTCTCTAACCGTTTAGTTCTATAAAACCCACAGTGAGTTTCTTAAATACCTGGGAAGGAGAAATTATTAAGATTTATTTTATTTTACACATGTGAGTGATTTGCCTGCATGTATGTTTGTTCATCATGTGCAGTGTCCACAAAGCCAGAAAATGGCATCAGATCTCATGGCACTGGGATTTATAAACAGTTCTTAGTATCCATGTGGATGCTAATAACTGGCCCAGGTCTCCTGCAAGAGCAGAGACTACTGTTAACTACTGAGACATCTCACTAGCCAGGAAACATTATTAGCTTTCCCCTCAATTTTAGATTAGTAAAACATGCTTAATAATTACAAGTGGTTGAAGGACATAGCTCAGTGATAATAGTTTTTGACACATAACACACAAGGGCCTGGCTTCAATAGGAAAATGAAAACAAAATCAGATAAACAAAAGCAAATGAAAATGGCAAGTATATACACAACTTCAAAAGAGAAATATTCATCAAGCATAATCACAATTCAACTTGCTATAAATTTAAGAAAATGCAGTATTCTTCAATGGACACTACGATGTCCTCACCCCATTGCAGTCTTTGGCCCTGCATGCACTTTAGGAGTCTCTGTGCTCCAAACCCATGGCTGGGAACGGAAAGGTAGCAAAGTTTTCTTCAACAGCCTGTAGGCTCACACAATTGAACCTGTTCTTTTATCTGCCTGTGCTCATTTAGCCCACCACGCAGTCTTTATTAAAGCTGCGACATCAGGCAGTCAGAGTTCATTAATACCATTTATATAATCTCTGCAATTTCAATTAACTCAGCAAGACATTCTCCTACATGATAACAGTCTCATTAATTCAATAAAATCCCATAACTATTAACAATATGGTCGATGTTAAACGGGGTGTCACCTAGTACAAAATAATAGCTTTAACAGCTTGTGATGAAACTGAAGGCTTTTTTCCTTTAAATTTGATACGGTTAAATATTCAGTCCTTCTACAGCAAGGTATTATTTCTCCGTAAGAAAAAAAAAATCTACAGAATTTAACATGTAGATGGGGTAATGAAGTCTTCTAAAGTGAGAACCATGTAGAAGATATCAATACTTTTATATTCGGTAATTGATAGGCTTAACTTCTCTAATATAATCTTCCATATTCCTATCTAGCCTTTCACACATGTAGAGTGGTCCACATACATTAAATGATGGAGCATGATTTTATGTTATTTTCTCTCTGCTGGGACTTATTTCCATTACTAAAGACTGCCTTGATTTAGTTTTGTCTTTTTCTAAAGAGAATTGAAGAAAGAGACTGAAGAAGACACTAGAAGTTGGAGAGGCCCACTGCCTATGGTCATACACTGGTGGAACTCCTAATGTAAAAATGACATTCCTCCCAAAAGTAATTTACACTTCAATGGAATCTTTATCAAAATGTTCATTTTGTTTTTTACATAAATAGAAATTAAAGTCATAAAAGTCATATAAAAGTATAGAAGACTCTAGATAGGTAAGGTAATCTGAGAAAAAGCAATGTAAGACAATGTAAGGACTGCTTTAGATTTCATGCTGTACTATGGAGATACAGTAGATAAAGGCAACGGGATACGGCACAAACACAGACATGGAGATAATGGAACACAACGGAAATCCTGAAGGTGAGGGCTGTAATCCAGGGACACTCCACTCCAGTGCTCATCCCCCAGGCTCAAAATGTCAAATGACTATGACAAGTTTCAATGAGACAAATATCTCAGATTATTGCTCAGATCATACATTAATTTAGAAGAAACATATGTATTTAAACTTTTCCCATTGAAAAACATGCTACTATTTTCCTATTTGTTCAGCTGTTGCTTTAGCACTTCAAAAATATTTACAGTTATTTTAAATACAATTTCTATAACTTCATTATCAGATTTATCTGCGGACATTTGATGAGATGTGTATTTTCAATGTTACACAGCTATTAATTGGGTGTAAATGAGCACGGGCATGGCACTGGGCACGGTAGCTCAGAGTGAACATCTCGCTCGTGAGGAGCACTGGGGTTGGTTGCTGGAACTTAAAAACAAAAGACATATATACAGTAGCATCAAACATAGAACTTAAGACAAACATCATCTGGCTTAAGAACTTTGTAAAATGTATTTCCGGTTGAATATTGTCTTTTCCATAGTTATTTTCTGTTTCATTAAGCTAGAATTTGGTAGTCATCAACTAGATGTAATTTCGATTGTCTTGAATTTAATTTGAATTTTCATTTTATATATTCTTAAAAAAAATAAAGTACCAAACTATATGCATTTTTAGTGCAACTTAAAAAACTTAAATATGAATTTTATATGTATTTATATGTTAAATGATTTACATTTTCAAAAATTACAATATTTGTTGATTAATGAAATGAGTCAAAAGTCAGGAGTACAAAAAAAAAATCTAAGTATAAACTTTAAAACTGCAGAACCTTCTTCCAGTTCTGCTACAAGAATTAATCATTGGGACTTAATACTGGATTAGGTTACTTGTCACAAGATATTAAATGATGCACTTAACAATAATATTTACACATGATTTACTAGTTTTACTAGTAACCTCGCTGCAAAGATGCTACTTATATATGAACCCCATAAGTTTAAAGGAAAGATGGAACACTTGCCAGGAGAAGGGGAGGTGGGTGGAGATGGGGTAGGCAGCCTCACTGTGCATGCTCTTTGTTCCCTACAGACGACAGTGCTACTTGGGTTATTACATTGTGGCATCACTCTGGATACAACAAAGTTTGCACTATTGTCCTATCATCTCTCAAGCTGTATGGGCATTCCAAGTCAATGGCATCACCTGTAAGGCATTTCCATTACCTGTTTATAAAGCAACTGCTCGTTTTCTCTAGCATAACAGAACAGAACATCTGTAAGAATTTTTCTTACATTTTCTTGTTGGAAAAATTGCATTTCAGGAAACCTGAAAAAAATATTGAACATAATTAATAGGTCCAGAAATATTTCCAGATTCTCATCTTTAAAATATTTCAAGGTCTACAGAATGTTTTACCACTCCTCTGATAAACTACTCAGCTTATGTTATGGATAGGTTTAAAAAAGGAGTGATAAAGGAAAAGAAACATTACCAAATCCCACAGGCACATGCCATCCTTCAACAGCTAAACATTTCAATTTGTTTCATGTACTTCAATAAGATAGTGTAGGAATGACAATGGTGTTAGAAATAGACACACAGCCAAGCTATTTGGGGGTTAGAAACTGGTTTGCTTTTAGCTGCTTCTTTCAGACAAACAGCTTGGTCTCATTAAATAGCCCAATCTTGTGTGAACATGGTAATCCTCCCGCCTCCATTTCCTGAGTACTATGATTACAGGTGTATGCCACTACATCAGGCACCTTTTTGGTTTTTTGAACATAGAATATGCCTTGATTTATAAGTAACTAACTTCTAAAAATAATCATTGTCACTGCTTTTCTTTGTATTAGGATTTCACCTGTACATTACAACACTGTTAGTTTCAGCTGTTTAATCTATGGGATTAAATAAAACATACGTTAGCAGGTCTTAACTAAATGTCTGTACAAATCGTTCTACAAGGTGCTCTGGTACACTATGAGATAGAAAAAGGTAGACATTCTGCTCGAAGAGAGTTCAGTTCCCTATGATGTAATGATATACAACTGAGAGCACACAGGGAACCAGCAGTGCACATACAATGTAAGGGCTGCAGGCACCTGAGCTACAAGTTTCAACTGGAATCAGTCACAGGCTTAAGCAACAATTTATGAAGAATAGTGTGTGACCATTAGTGTGAAAGGCAACTAAGTCAGAAAAAGGGTAAGAAGTCAGTGGATCAAACGTAGTCAGTGGATCAAAGCTGGCCACTGGAAAGGAGAAGAGAAAGGAGAGGTGTGACAGATGGGAGCATTAGTGTAGAAGAAAAAGCGGGGAAGTGTCAAAAAAGTGTAAATACTGAATTTAAAACTCAGTAACACAGTTACGGGTTAATAAAAAAATCGCACATTTTTTATTAGGGAAGTGATAATGACTGTAGGCAGGAATAAGACTAAAAGAAGAGTGTTTATAGGAAGGAGATTATGTAGAATGGGGGGGGCAATGGAAAACTCACAAATCTAAGTAGAAAGGTCTCTGTTTAAATTCATGTTGCACACTTTCCAGATGGGGCAGTGAAGGCTCAAAGCTTTACATACTGAGGCAGGAGCACGAATACTGGTCTTCTGAGTAAGAAGGGAGCAGGTGAAAACTCCTGCACATGGATGGCATTAATGGCTAGAAAATGATTATTAATCTTCAAATAAGACACTTTAGTTGAGAAAAAAGTGACCTCTTGGTGTTGGAATCACAAAGTAAGAAAAAAAATGAAGAGAATGGAGAGGAGGAAGACTATCTAGAGCATGGAATAACAAGACTTTACTACTACTACCTAGAGCACGGAGACACAGCACACTACTACTACCTAGAGCATGGAGGCATAGGAAATTACCAAAAACCAGCAAGTACTCTTCAGTGGAGACCTTTAAGACCCATCTAATGCACTCTATATTATAACTTACTGCTTTCTCTTTCTGAGACCTTTGCTGTACTGTGTTTCTTACTTATCCGGTGTTTGCACACAGTTCCTCTAAGTCCAAACCATGCTTAAACGTGAACTAAGTCAGGCATCAATGAAGAATGTGTTTTCAGATCCTATTTAATCTTATACAATTAAGGCAATTTATTCAGCGTTTAAAAGACTTTTGCTTAAAAGTCCCTTTGATGAGCAGGTGTCCTAGACTCAGGTTTTCAAGTTCTTCCTTAGCAGCAAGGAAACCTCTTTGGGACTCAGAAAACAACCTAAGAATCTGAGCAAGGTGAACCCACATCTATGAAAGACCCTCACTGCAACAACTCTCCAGATACCCCAAATTCCCACTTGACTATCAGACACAGTCAGGGTAGAGGATCAGTATATAATCAACCAAGTAAACTACTAGTCTTAAGGAAACTTAGATAAACTTAGAAGACAATAATATTTTTGTATGAGAAAATTTCTGTGCCTTTCCCTAATTACATGACTTATTTCAGTTGTTAAAGTAGGGTGCAGGAACAAAATTTGAATCAGCTGGCTCAATAATTTTGCATTCTCCTTTTCTGGTCTATTACTTGGAAATGTTCTATGCACACAGACAAAAATAAATATTGTTTGGGTGTCGCAATACAATGATCTTAGAAAAACAATGAAAACTGTTATAGTCACTTTGCCTCATATGTCTATGAATTATGTATATAGTAAGTGTTTGCAATCTAAATATGAAAAATTAAATTACATTGTACACAATTCATGGTTTCATTTAAAGGCATACTAATCACTTGGGAGATTACAAATGAGAGAGCCACAAGAATTAAAATTCAGCTAGATAATTTAAATTGTTCATTTTCAGGAAATATCACTCAACTGAAAATGTGAGGTAGGCATCAGCATATTACTCCAGAGCACATCTCTACTTCTACTCTCCAAGGTTCAAGTACCCACTCAGGAACTTTCATGTTACCCTATACATTTGCTTTCTTTGAGAAGGATTATTTGCTCTTTAAATTCTGTTGAAGCATTAAGTAACTGAGGAAGAAAGATGCAGTGAAGTTCTGAAAATGAAACGTTAAGTTTGTGCTTTCTCATAAGTTAGAAAAAGAACTAATATTCACAGTAGGTTTAACTGGAAAACTCCAGAAATTACTCAGTCTACCTCTGATTAATTAGCTATGAAACTAAACCTAGAAACATTAGTAAGTTAATAAGAGAAGTTAGTGCCAGAGTAAGTGGGCAAGCAGCACAGCAGCAGTACTAGGTCACTCCGTCCCTATGGATACAAGTACATCTTGTATCTATACAATGCTTATCTGGGAAAAATTATATGATTCAAGAAGCACAGAAGGACCAAGCTCAGAATGTTGATCAATACAGTGGAGCAATAATACAAACCCAAAGATATTATATTTATAGGAACAGACATAATAGAAGAAAAACTCAGAGAATGGCACTTCCAGGAGTAGTTATTATCATCCTTGGTGATGTGTGGTAAGATTCAGAACAAACTTCAGCTGTTCTATGCTCCTAAGAATTCCAGGCAACTTTGTTATGTTTTTAGACACCCATGTGAACTTGTATGGATTTCACATGGGTACAGTAGTTCTGAAATCAGTGTAGTACAGGCATGATTAGAAAGGGAAATCTGGATTTAAATCATTAAAAGAAATAAAACACTGATCAAATTGAACACAATTTAAAATTCAGAATCACAAACAATAACTATAACTTAATGCAAGTAAAGAAAAACAAGAGTAGCTTCAGAAAAGGTGTGATTGGGAAAAGCATTACTATCAAGACTTTCAAAGTTCCCAATTGAGCCAAAACAAAACACCAAGTAGGAGATAAGAGGGAAGAAAAGTCACAAGATAATTAAGGAGTAGAGACAAATGTAATTATTATATTACAGAAAAACCAAAGTCCAAGAAAAGTTACTTTTATACTTAGCTAGAAAATGAAAATAGAATTATAAGATAAGTTTGTAATACTATTCAAAGAAATCTATAGGATTAATGTAATCATCATATTAAACACCCAGTATCATTTATGAATATAAAACATAGCCAGGCGGCAGTGGCGCACGCCTTTAATCCCAGCACTTGGGAGGCAGAGGCAGGCGGATTTCTGAGTTCGAGGCCAGTCTTGTCTACAGAGTGAGTTCCAGGACAGCCCGGGCTACACAGAGAAACCCTAGCTCGGAAAAAAAAAAAAAAAAGAATATAAAACATAAAATCAGAGAAACAGAAAATCATATTTAGACAAGATATAATCGACTAAATAAAATAAACCAGAACTACATTTATCATACTAGATGTTGTATAGATGACTATATTACAAAGCAACAAAAGTTAAAGTAGTATGGTATTGGTATGAAAGAAGACATATCAACCAACAGAAGATAGTACCGTCTTTTGGCTTTTAACAATGATACAAAGAATATACCAAGGGAAAAGAAATAGTCTCTTAAATGAAGAGTGCTGGAAACACTGGATATCTATATGAAAAAGATTAAAATTGGGCCACTTGATAAAAAAAACTTTAAAAATGACTAAATTTTAATGTAAAACTCAAAAAGAAACTATTAGAAGAAAATGTAGAAGAGTTACATTGGTCTTGACAATGACTCTTTTTAAATTTGACTCTTAAAGTGTCGGCAAGAAATCAAAACTAAAGAATGACTTCACATTACAATAAACAGATTAACAGCAGTAAGCGCATGGAATATGTGTGTAAAGCTTATGGTCCCATTCTAAAGCATGACAAAAATTTACAGATTCTGCACAAGAAAACAAGACACTTCAGAGATAACTGACTGGATGGGAGAAAATATATGAAAGCTATATATTTAATAAAAATTGCTCTAATAGACAAAAGGCCATAATAGAGATTTCTGTAAAGAAGATACATAGTGGATAACAGACATATGAAGTATTCTATACTTCTAAACAATTAGAGATCCATAATCAGTAAGATACCACTACACGTGACAAAATAGATATTTTCAAAAACAAAAAACGAAACATTATTGATAGTGTGTCAAGAATGAACCTTGAACTATTTTTGATGAAAATGTATTATAATATTGCCAATATAGAAAATGGTATAAAGGATTCTTAAAAATAAAGTAAAAACAGAATTTTCACTTCTTCACACTGACTATAAGACTTTTTATATTAATAAAATGTCTACACTCCTAGTTCCACTGTAGCACAAAAAACATTTGTCAATATATCACATCAAATTAAATTATTATCAATGGATAAAAGGTTGAGAACCAATGTCTATACAATGGAAATACTGTTAAGCATTAAACCAGGAAGAAATTCTAGTAGTTGTTATAATATAGATTAAAGCAGAAAACATGCTAACTGAA